TATTTATGGTGGGCGTAAATATAGAAGATTTAGGCGTCGAGAAAAATTTACATTCTGATCGAATTACATGTTTCATTTGCTTACAACTAAGTTGACTTCGGTTTATAAGTACTGTTTGATCTTAAAAGACATGTTTGACAATTTTTAAAATACTAGAAATGTTAATACACAATGGGCCATGAATTAATTTACACAACAGTTATCATTGTGACAATAAATTAATTACAGTAATTAATTTGGATATAAATTGGTAAGTTGAAGCCTCTAAGGGACCGATTCTGCTGCACAACAGACCAATGTTATGACAAGGCTATGTTATGAAAAACTTTCTATACAAATTTGTTCCACATATTGACAAAAGCCATGTAGTTGCCGTGCAGTCAGGCAATTTTCTATGGTTGTCAGATAGAAAACATAACCTAGAAACTAAAAAATTGTCGAAAAAATGATGTTAGATAGAAGGGTCTTTCTGACCCAGCTCCATAACATACAAATAACGTTGCAGTTTATGTGTAAAACTGCCTGAATGCACAGCAAATACATTACATTTTGACAGTATTCAGTAGCATGATGTATGGAAGTTAGACCGTAACATGGCCTTGCCATAACATTTGTCTGTTATGCGACAGAATCGGTCCATAAGTCTCTTCTAATACGTTTATGTAGGGGAGCAAGGGGCTATTTGTAGCAGGAGTAAGTCACAGAGGTTTTTCAATAGAATCTTTAAAAAGTTTTTTAACTTCCCGTAGGGTAAGTTATAGTAATCGCAAAAAAATCGAAAATGAAAATTTTTATATATCTTTACGTTTCAAAGGTTTCTGAACATTTTGGCATACCTTAGAAAAAATGGATGTATGTGTGTGTGTGTGTGTGTGTGTATGTGTGTGTGTATGTGTGTGTGTATGTGTGTGTGTATGTATGTACGTGTGTGTATGTATGTGCGGATACAAATTTTCGTCGACGATTTCAGGAACACGGATCAACCGATTTGAATAATTCAAAAAACATTCGATTCGTATTGATAAGGAGACGTGCTGATTAGTTTTTGGCGAAGGCAGGTCTAGCCGTTCCGAAGATACGGGGCAAAAAGTGCCGAAAACGGTAACTCAGTTTTAAGAGAACGGATCGCCCGATTTGAATAATTCAAAAAACATTTCACTTGTATTGACAAGATGAAAAATCGATGAAATTTTCATGAAGGTAGGTCTAGCGGTTTCGGAGATATGGAGGAAAAAGTTAAAAATGAGCCATTTGGCGGTCAAAAATGATCATTAGACATATGCACATCAAATTATCAGATATTTTATAGAGATTTTAACAATAAGTATACATTTTGTCAACATTCCTATGGGTTCCGTACCAATGCTTATGCGTTGGACAGCGACGCGGCGCTTACGCGCTTTATATTTTGTGCCTATGCAGTTAAAGCAGTACGATTGCTTTGAAAAAAAGTTCAGATCTTCCACAATATGTCAAAATAAATAATTTTTTTTTTTTCAAAAAAAAAAAATTAAAAAATTTTTTTTTTTAAAAAAATTTTTTTTTCAAAAAAAAGTTATTTTTTGTCCAATTTATAGTTTCCCAAAAATCTTATTTTTTCAAAGTAATTTTTTTTTCAAAAATGTTAATCGTTTTTAAAAAAATTATAATTTTTGGTACGGGAAGTTCAAGCAATTTGCCTTAAGGCACGATGCCTTAATTGCCTTAAGACAGAATTCCACTTACAGCTAGTTTTTGTCTTGATTAGACATGTGAGCAGTCCTGCGTAATATTATCATAGCTACTGTCCCGCAGGAAGATGCAGTAAACAGAAATGTGCAGGTGCGTCATTTTTGGCAGGTAATATAAAACTGTTACACCATATAATTTTGGTTCGCGTTTGGTTAAATTCTATATATTTGATTTGCTTCAAATCTATCAGTCTGTAATAATGTGTAACAATTTTTGTAATTGTTAAATTGTTTAAATAGTTATCTTAATTAATGTGAAAATGTTAGTTGGAGAGAAACTTTGGGGCTAGTTGTAACATAAAAGAATTATATAATATATAAGAAGGTTGGATGGAATGTATAGTTTGAAAGGTATGAGCACATGAAGATTGTGTTATTACATGGAACATTACATATTTTATTTGTATTGATCGAAGTCAATGTTATAAGATTCAGTTCAATCTGACTAAATGCAATAAGAACATTTTAACAGTCCATTTGAAATGGTAATTATTTTCCGTTAAAGTTAGTAAAAGTTAAATATAAGAAAAGTGACTGATATGGCTAAACTTCTAAAATATTCAACTGCTACTCACAATATTCAGATAGAAACAAATCCAGTTAGATGTCCATAAGAAAAATTGATGAATAAAAATTTATGATAGTTTGTCATTTGTCTAAAAATAACGTGTAAATTTTCTCAAAAATAAGTTACTATTTGCCTCCGTAGATGTTACAACTAGCCTCAAACACGGGGTAATTTGTAACACGGCACTTTTTCAAGAATATTATTAATTGTGAAAAAATGAACATTAGTTACAGAAGTATTTTTTTACTTGATTTGATAGAGGAATAGGTACAGCATTCACCCATCTTTATTCCGTAAAGATATTATTAATAAATCTCAAAATATGATTAAAAAAACAGCTCTAGGCCCTGAACCATTTGATCTTAACTTGTTGTAAAATCGGCGACAATTCTTGACACGCGGTGGTAAATGAAATAGTTCAAATAATACTGGCAATTTTAATAATAAATTAATAATAACAATATAGTTAGCTATAATCAAGTCGAAGCAGTATTTGCTTGTAAGTCTCTAACAAGTCTGATCATCTGATTTCTGATAAAGTCTGCGTTCCAGAAGAGGCAATATTCAACAGATTTACTTTTATGGGATATCAAATATATTTACTTTTATGGGATATCTCAAAAATCGAGTAATAGTCATAAAACAAATATACTGCTAGAATTAGAAGCTGAGATAAGAGAAAAGATGTCCTAACCTATATGTTGAAAGAATAATTCACAAATTTACGAGTTCGCTCTTTTAGAAGAATTCCTAATGAGTCTTTGTCAGTTAGATAATTTTTTACTTAAAACTAAGTTCCTGTCATCTCTTGAATAAATGTTTTAAATAAGTAAATCTTTTTTTGGTTTTTATAATTCTAAAAATATTAATTTATGACCCATTCTGTATTGTGACTATAACATTTTAAGCTAAAGTATACTTACATGATATTTGATATACGAGTATAAATAAATTACTGATACAATAATTACTAATTATTATTACTTTAAAGTAAGTTATAACTAGTACATTATTAATTTATAATACTTACTAAGACTGAGATTTATAATACTTACTAATTTATAATACTTACTCTTTAGTAAGAAATCTATATAATAAAACCTATAGGAACTACTAATTGAAGAAGAATTAACTTATTCCTATTTTTACAGGTATTTAAATAATCTTGCTTTCTAACCATTTATACCAGAATGTATAAACCAAATGCATTAATAAATTCAGTTACATCTCATTCAAGTTTCAATCAATTACAAAATCAATTACATTGTTGAATCTTTTGAAATATACTTTGAAATATCGACAACAATATCAAATTTAAATTGTATTACATTACATTTGCATCTGTTTTCTGGTAGTACAATTTATCAAGAAATTTTTGTAACTCCAAAAAAATCAAATAATTTCATTACAATATAATTAAATCTTACCAATAATCATGTTGATAACTATAACTAATTATAATTATTTAAATTATTGAAAACTATAATTAAATAATTCTTGATTTGTTTAAACTTATAAAGGTGCACACAAAATCGCTATGACGTTGTACCAAAATTCAATTTTTGGATTTGATGCAACTTTTGTTTTTGCAAATTTAGAAAAACTCTCTAATAAATAATATCTTCTAAAATATATTATATAAGAATAATGCATTTTCCAACATAAATATTATTAAAAAAATGCTAAAATTTTAGCATTGACATATCCTATTATAAAAAATGTCTGCCATAGCAATTTAATGTTTCGTGATCCTATTTTTCAAAATACTTTTAAGCTTATTTAAACAACTTTATAATTTAATTGAAATTATCCACAATTATTCCTCGATTTCACCATACATTCTTAGCAAAAATACATACATATTCTCTTATACACATGGACAAAATATATGCATGTTTATAGATAAATTAAGGTGAGATCACATAAAAAGATTCGTTTATAACAAAAAACTAGTGAGGCGCATGGCATCGTGCCTTAAGGCAAATTGCTGGAACTTCCCGTACCGTAATTAAACATTCGAGAAATAAAAATAAGTAATAATTATTTTGAATAATTTCAAATAGATTATTAATTATAAAAACATACTGTAAATTTAAAAATGCTTTTTAAATTAGGCGACGTGCGTATTCTATAAACAACTTTGTGTATGTTTATGAGAATTTTTTTTAAAATTTAATATTTTTTTCAAAATTTTGAAACTTTTTGAAGTTTGAGATTTTTTAAAAAAAAATTTGAAAAAAAACATGTATAAATTTTTTGAGAATTTGGAAAGTTTTGAAAATATTCGATTTTTTTGAAAATTTCGAAATATTCTCAAATTTTTGTAAGAATTCGATTTTTTTAAAAATTTGTCAAAATTCAGTTTTTTTTAATGATGAAAAATTTCGAAATTTTTTATTTTTTTTGAAAATTTGAAATTTCATTGAGAGTTCATAACCGCTGCACCTGCCACCCTAAAAATCAGTTTTTCATCTTGTCAATACAAGTAAAATGTTGTTTGAATTATTAAAATCAGACGCTCCGCTTTCTGAAAAACTAAGTTATCGTTTTTGGAACTTTTTGCTCCGTATCTTCGGAACGGCTAGACCTGCCTTCGCAATTTAATACAAACAACTAGATATTTTCATTCACCCTTAATATGTGATCTCAACTTAACCAACCACCAACCACCAACCTCTAGACTAAATCTACTTCCAACTTACCCTGAATCGTATCTCCTCCCCGAAGGGCTCTTACATCCGCCACTGCTAGCATTGTTACTGGAATCTTCCTCGTCTTCTTCTCTGGAAGTTGATCGGGCAGAGGAGCCGCCTCCAGTGGCGGACTGCGGCGACAGGGTTCCGGTGACGGCGGTCGAACCTGCTCCGGAGGATGTGGGCAAATTGCTACCGTCGGAAGTATCCGGTAGCAATTTGACCGCGGACGCGTCTCCCTCGGACATTTCGCCAGTTGCAGGGCCAGATTTGTCCAATTGCTAAAAAGGGTAAAGGATAGTTTAGTTGTTTTGCAATCCAAAAATAAGTATTTTGTTAAATATTGTAGTTAACATGTTATCAAAGATTTTTTTTGTAATTGTTTGAACAGCAATCAGAACTCTTATATGTTCTATAAGCTGTTGGTTAAGGCTTATGACTACTTATTTCATGAGAGGCAATCCATCGATTTACCATTCTCTTATGCGCGGGATATTTTTGATATTAGCTCTTACGTCTAATAGTTAACATGTGATTGGATGTTGCAGCTATGTCCACGAAGAACGATTTCCACTTGGAATTAAATTGTGATCTATAACCCCAAGGGGAAATTTGACATCAAAGCTGCCTGATGTCAGATTACGGCGGTAGCGGGGATCGAACCACCGAACCTGGGACTAGTTGCTGCTAGCCCACGCTCTAACAGTTATCGCCACCGCCGGCCCATGTTATCAAAGGTAATAGATTTTTTAAATTTTCCAGACTTATTTCAGTAAATATATATAGGAAAGACTGGGCACAGTTGTATTACTTTTATTTCGATCAGCAATAATTCTGTTAATTTACCAGTTAGCTAGGAAAAAAGTAGGTAAATTAGATGGTGATTTAAACATTTGTCTAGATAAAAATACTCAAAAACTATCCTTAAATACAATGGACAGTCATAAAATCAAATCATACAAAGAGAGCGTGTGTCACAACTGTCCACACGCCCAAGGACGGTTGTGACAGTCATAGGTTAAAAATCAATAGGTATAAACACCAAAATGACTTTTATTGCCAGAAACGACTTTTTTGTCTGAAATTTGTAACACAACACAACATAATCATTTAAACAAAGCTTGTGACTAAAATATAACAATTTATAACAAAACATAATTTTTTAACAAAGTTAAAAAAAAATCTGCAGAACCCATTTTTTCTTGTATTTAATTTTCCCTTTTCTTTCACATTTTGACTTAAGTTAGATTTTTTTATCTGTTTAAACTTCACTCGAAAATAATTTGTCACAACCGTATCCACAAATTTATTAATTACAAAAAATTAAATTAAATAATTAATGACCATTTGATCGCCTGTACAACCATTTTTTGTTTTTATTTTTTTTATTGCTATTTTATTAATTTAACATTTTTACGGTTTTAAATGAGTATAACTTTCAACCTTGTGCAAGAATTTTGAGCTTGACTGGTGGTCTAATAGACTAATATGATGAACTTAATGACGAACATTGTATTTAATGTTTGAATGCTTTTTTTCAGCTCTTTTTTTCAGAAGCGAAATTCGTGCAGCTACTATGATTATTATAAAATTACTATCCTTTTAATATTAACTATGAATAAGCTTGACAAGAGCCTGAAATAATGTCTATTATTATTGATTACGGCTTGCTTATGAATAAATAAATAAATAAATAAATAAATATAATGAATGTAATTAGAAAACAAACAAAAAAATATCAATATAGATTGAGGTAGGTCCTTTTTTAACTTCCGGTAGGGAAGTGCGATTGCTTTCAAAATTTCCAAAATATTTCAAAATAAAAAATATGTTTTTTCCAAGATTTTGTTTCCAAAAAAAGTAATTTTTTTCAAATTTAAAAAAAATTAATGTTTAAAAAAAAAATGCTACGGAAAGTTCCAGCAATTTGCTTCAAGGCACGATGCCATGCACCACTAGTTTTAGTTTATTCTTAGATGGCTGATACATGTACTTTTTCCAATTTTGATGTATCTTATTCATAATCACTTGAAACATGAGACAACTTAAAACTAGCGAATCCGATTTTCAATACAAAATTTTTAGCAAAGCTAGACAGACCTGCATAGAAAAGAATAGCGTTAACTCTTGAAAAATTATTTATGGAATAGTTCATTCTCTGGATAGTGCAACAAAAAAATATAATTATTTTACGCAAATCTAGAATTAAGATCCGTTGCCATGATAAACATTTCTACTAATAAACAAGAAGTCCATCCATTAGTCCAATATTAAAACTATATTTTACAGTTTACAATTATTTTGTCAAAAACATATATAAAAGCATAATGGTGGCCTCGGACAACATGACAAATACACGAGATGATTAATGGAAAATTGCAGACCACTACAAAATACGACTTTTTATCTGTCAAACTTACTACTGTACTAAATACTTACTACAAATATTCATACAAATATGAACTCTTTCTAATCAGAATAAAATGTTGCAAAAATATTCATTGTCTTCGAGTGCTTGGCAAATGTTTTGTTGAAAAATTGTACTTTAGTTCAGTTTTTGTTTCATATTTTTATCATATCATTATATGAAATGTTCAGATTAATAACAATAATTTATACTGTTTATTAACAAGAATAAAGTAGTATAAACTATGGAGTTTCATTATCATCGGTTTTACTATCTGATCTAGTTACTAGAATTGGTGTTAATTCATGAATGCAATATGATAATCCTGATTTAATTAACAGGCAAATTCTAATCTGTTACGATACTTCATAGAACAAATAGTAAAATGTAATTATTCTCGGCACATCGATGTTTGCACGTTTTTCATTAATGAAATTTATCTGTTTGTTGACTCGTATATCACAATTTGAATCCTGTTTCAATTGAACATAGTTGTATATAGGCAATACTGAGTTTTAGCAAAAAACTCTAAAATACGAGTATATTGTTACGAATACAGAGCAATAGCAAAACTTATGATTATATATTAGCAAATATGTTGTATTACAATTTTTTATGAATTGTAAAAAAAACAATAAGTTCTAAAGCAGGTTTCCTGATACGATGAAAGAGAACCTCAGGTTCACTCTATAGTCAAAACGATCCTTTCGAAATATTACAGATTTACGAATATAACAATATTTAATTTGATATACGTCTGCACAAAATTTGTTATTTTCCCTAAATTGTAGCAGTTCTGCTCATTTTTTCCGAAGTAGTAAATTCCAGTTTTAAATGGCGTATACGAAAAATATTTAGAATAGAACTAGAAAATCAAAAAATGCAATTGATGATTTTAATTATCCTTTCTCAAAACCTCATTATTTCTCAACCAATGCAATGCCTACTGGAGCAAGATAATAAAACTTCTGGTAGGGTAAGATAGGAACAAAGGTCCAATTTGTCTTTCAGCAATTATATTGTGAAAACCAATTCAATGATATCACAACAAATACCACAGATCAATCAAACAACTAACTGACTATGATCAGTAAAACTCCCAGCTAATTCATCATTGTAGAAATATGATTTTCTTATTTTGAAAAGTGTCACTTGGTCCTTTTTGCCCCACAGGCGAGGTAAAATGAGACAGCTAGGTGGCAAACAGATCCGATGACTGTTTTCAATTTTAAAGGGATCTTATGAAATAATATCCAGAATATTTAATTATTGCAATACATATATAAATTTCATGAGCACATTTTTTACAAAGATAGCACTGTATATAACCTTGATCTGGTATTTCGTTAGAAATATTCATCAAAAGAGTTGAAATAACCATTCATTTATTAATATATCTTTTGTAAAATTGATTTTTTAACTAGTTTGCTTTTTTGTGCACTATTTTCTCTTGTCTCGCCTTTGCCTGGCTAAAGGTTCATTTGGTCCTTTTTACCCCGCCCAAATGTAAACTTTTATAGAGAGTATATAAAAAACTGGTGAATTTAACATAAAATTTACAATACATCTTAAAAGGCAAATAAATAAAGTATACTTAATAATTATATTGAGGTCTTGCAAACTAAACAACAGTGCTCACAACCAAAAAAGTAACAACTAAATAAAACACTTTTTTATGGATAATTAGACATTGTCATTTATCTCCCGATAGAAACGTCGTAAAGAACAAGGTGATGGCTAATTATACATTTTTTTCCTTTACTTTCTAATATTGTTGTTAATAAATGCCTAACTTCACTTGTTTTTGAGTTATCGGTGGTGGATCTTTTAATCATTTCTACTCTATACAACAAATATTTTCAATAGAACAAGAAAATCAAAAAATGCCATTTATCGTATAGAACGATTTCAATTATCCCCTGTCGGACAACATTTGGTTTTCAGTCCATGAAAATGAATACAAGACCAACATAATAAAATCTAATTGCTTGATTAAAAGATGTGCAAAAACCCATGTAGAGGTAAAATAATTTAAATTTTTGGTAGTTCTCAAATTTCAGGAAATAAAACTGGTGCTAAAACCAAAACCACCGTTTGCTCTGGGCATTTTGTCAATCCGGATAGAATAGTTAGCCACATGCGTTCAACTGCCAACTGGATTCCAGCCAAATCCTAAATGGGAAAGAAATTAACAACCACTATCACCGGATACAACTTAATTGCGAGAATAGTCGACCACTATCATCATCATAATTATTATGGAGTTGAAATTTTGGTACATTATCTAAAGCAGTGATGGACGTATGAAGAGATTTTGATGAAAATGTGTGGGATCGAAGTAATTATTTACAACTGAAAATGCGTAGTTGGCATTCAGTTTGCAAATTCAGTAGAAAATCGTTTATCCGGCCCTCAGTTATACGAATTCGGGATTATCCGGACTACCAACCGTGAACAATTTATATGTATTGTATATACATACGTACAAGTATACCAAATACAAATTACCAAATATATACTGTAAACAAATTATTCGTACATACGAACCTAAATATAATAGTTTATTTTACGATTAATGCTGCAATTTAGTATTATGTATTCTAAGAACATATGTATATGCATACTAGGGTGGTCCTTAACAAAGACATTTTCGAATTTCTTTGCCAATGCTTCCAAATTAATAAAAAATGTATCTCTAATAGCATTAGTCTTAATATCTAGATAGAGCGTACGCCAATTGAAAGTTCCTTATATTTGTTATTAACATACGTCATTAAGTAAATTCTTGCGCCATCTGTATAGTATTCGTGAACTTAAATATTATGACACGTAAGAATATTTATGGTGGTTTTAGAAATTCTATTTCAGGTTATA